CAAGACCTCTGTTCATTCTCTTTTCTTTAGTATGGCAGGAGGACTGAGATACTCTTTTTTAACCTTAAGAGGAAACAGCAAGACTGCACAACCTGGGGATGAAGAGAATGCACTTCCTGAGTCAAAGAGTTAGCCAAAATGCTGGCCTTGAAAGAGACTGAAGATACAGCTTTGTTCAGCATCGTGGAGAACAAATAAGTATATGCTGGAACATATTTGGAACAAGGAAAAAAAAAACTACCTCAGTCGCCACAGATGTGCACACAGTTCATTGGTGCAGAAATATTCTTGCACACCATGTTTTTTACGTGTGGACAAGTTTAATTTTGGCTGTTTCTACACCACTAATTTGTAGCTAATTTATAGGAAGGAGTGCCATGAGCAAAGCTCAAGTTGTAAATTTCTTCATTTTCCTGTACTTCGGTGCTATTTGTACTCCAGGAGATCTGTGAGTACTGCCAGTAGTCTCTGAGGCAAAACTCCCTGTAAAGATCATGAGGCTTGATTCACCATTGCCTTATGCCATATGCAGTCTCTGATATCAGTGAAGAGATGAAAGATGCTAGTGATTCAGAATGATTTCACATACACATGTGCTCTGGTGTAAGTGATGTAGAACATATAGGGCAAAGAGGAGACATTCCCCCAGATTGTTCCCTGTGTAAGTGTTGACTAAAGAATTCAGGATACGGCCTAGTGTGTTCGGTATACATTATGTAGATATTCTGTCTTAGTCTTTTCCTCATCCTTGATAAGGTCATGGTGTTCTGCTGCAATTGTCACTCTTGCTATAAGTGAACTTCGTAACTTTGCTGCAGGATCAAGGAGAGAAGGCAATTGAGAACCGATTTTTTAATATTTTAAAGTATTTTATGTGTGTGAGCCAGTACCAAACAGGTGGTTACAAGAGACAACAAAGGTAAATCTGTTTTTGTTTAGGTACATTCATCTTTTTATAACACAGTCCCCTCTGATGTTTTGTCTATAACTACCTTTAAATGCTGCAGAGAAGTGATGCTACTGTGTACAAACTACGAGAGGGGAAACTGATTGATATATGGAAGACTAATTTGTGTTTAAATAAGGAGAAAGGATCAGTGTCCTTTTGTGTCTTATATATGCAAAGACAGCTTATTTGATACTAGGTTATCCTTGAAATTCAGAGCCAGGAATTGTAACAAGCCCAGGTGGTTGCTACAGTGGGAAAGGCTGGTCCAGTGGTTAAAAAAAAAAGGTCCAGAATGTGGTGGTCTGGGTTATCATCTGGGTCAGTAATGGCACTGCTCTGTACCTTTCTTTCTTTCTCTGGAAATACAGTTGATAATGCTTACCTGTGTCTCTGAGGATATAGCATTAATCTTTGCAAACACGGCAGAAACATTGCAGTGCTGGAAGACAGCAGAGTAATTAAATTGAAGTTCTCAATTCCCTGCAAGCATGAGCCAAGAATTTTTAAAATAATCAAATCAAAAGAATGCTTTGGGAGACCTTGACCTGGGACCAGGGTGGTCTGGTGACTTGTTTGTTCTCCTTTGAATTAAAATACAACTAAATCTGAAAAACATTATTCTGTGTGTAACATGTGAATGACCAGATGGGATTAGATCGAAGAAACATCTGAGTAGCTCACACCAGAAGCTTCAGGGAATGACTGGGCTGCCCACTGCCTGCATCGATTTGAATGGCAAGAGAAGCAGTGACTGCGGATCCTAAAAGTGGAATTTAAGGGCATAATTGAAGTGGAAACAGAAGTCTGAACTATCCAGTTTCTCACAGCTAGCTAAGACATGTGACTTTCATTTTCTACCTGTTGAAGAGCCGGGGAGGGAAGGGGTTGCTGCACATATTTTAGAGACTTCTTCCATTTTTAAAATTTCCTTCATACTTAAAAAGCCTTCAGTATTTTTGAGTGTATTCTTTTATAGGACTCCTCTTTCTCCAGATCATCTCTACCTCCAGAATCCTAATTATTGAACATCAACTCTCTGCAGTGGGACAAGGCATTGGAAGGTTTTTATTAATTGTGAAAGAATTATGAGAGCTGTTTGATTGCAATACTGATGGACACAATGGCATCTGCTCAATAAGATGTAGTTCCCACAAAGGAACAGCTACTGTGTACATTTAATTAATGAATATTTTGCTGTACCTTTTATAAATAAAGAAGATATGGATTACAGTTCTAACAAGCTTTTTGTTTTTTGTGTGGATGGACATGTAAAATGCTTTCAAGCACACATGCATAGCACAAATATTTGCTTGCTATATGATCAGCTGCTACAGTGTACTTGAAGCAGTTTCATTAGTTCATTCTGTACCATAGTGGAACTGTTTTTATTTAATTCATTGTTCATGTCATGTTTTTGAAGTGCTTCAGACTTAGACTTCTCACCTAAAATACAGACCTGATTCTCACAGTCTTTATGATAGTATTACTCAGAATCATTTAAGAAATAAATTTAGGAATAACAAAAAGTAGGTGCTATCTAGAAGAACTTGCAAGTGCTTGATCCCTTCACAAAGCAAGTAAGCTTCAGTCACTTACTATTTGCCTCTGTATCTGCAGAGACAATGTTGATTCCATTAAATTTTCTGGTTGAAACTCTGGGCATATGGTCTCAGCGAGGCACAACTATCATGTTAGAATTTAGGCAATTGCAGAAATGGCTATTTAATTCAGAACCTCAGTAATTGTGGCTTTCAGTTAACAAGGTAGTAATTTAATACTGATTTCTCTTAGGATACATCTGTAGATAGTCCTAATCTTACTTTTCTACAGATTACGTACTAGTTTAATGAAATATTAAAACAGTTGTAAAACTGAATTACTTATTTGCTGTGTGAATTTTCTTTTGGAAAAACAGTAAAAATAGTTAGAGAAAACATTAGTCTTAAGAATACGTATTTAAAAGAGTTAATAGGTGGGCTAGTTAAGAAATGCTGGATTGACTTCTGAAAGTCACACGCCCTCACAGAAGTGTTGTGTGGTTACATGCTGATGGCTACAAAACTTGATTTTCAGAAGTCAGTCCAATATTTTTAAAACTTTTTAAGTTCTACAGGTGGCAAGGTGTATTTACAGGGGAACATACAAAGAAAATCAGTAACTGGACTGGAAGGGAATATTGTAGTGTACATTGACCTTTTCATACACTTAATTTTATAGGGAATGCTTTTAGCAGTGGACTAGCTGTAATGGGGCAAGATTAAGAGGGAAGAAGTACAGTGGTCATCCAAAGGAGCTTTCTACCTATGCAATGTGTAAAGTGCTTGCAGTGATTCCTGTGAAAGTCAGAGAAGCAATACCTCAGGAAAAAATCTTAGAGTAGGCTGGATGACCAATTCTTCACATTCATAAGAATTTATTATTTTTCCTCTTGATCTGATTTACAAATATTAAACCCATGAAGTACTGTAAACGTATCTCAGACTTGTTAGCAGCCTCTGGAAAAGAAAATAGCAAGGGAGCATGGGCAGAGCTGGAAGCACAAAAGAGAAGAATGGCAGCTACGGAAGTTTGTGTTTTGGCTCCAACATGAAATAGAAATTTTTTTTTTTTTTCACATAAAAGAGGTATTCAGCATCCTTGTTGCATATGAAAAATACAGTGCAACTTGTTCAAATTTAACATATTCCTTGAACAGTGAGTGATTATTTGGGGAATTTGTGATTGTAAATATTTTTGGAAATGTAGTATGCAGACCTTTTATTTGACTGGCCTTACTTACAGGGTAAAACGAAGTGAAATTTTAAGAGAGCTTATCTGTGAGAAACTGGGTTGTTGTTAAGACGGTGATGATTCTTATGTCTTCTTGTTACAGATAAGTTAGTGTTACATTTCTTGTGATTCAGACATATTTACTCTGTAATGCATCTGCATATTGTGGTTTTCTGGCTGAAGCTGTCGGTAATGTGACACTTGACATATATTGCTGCTTTTCATTTGCAGATTTTTGGGTGTCAGAGGTTTAGAGGTGGCTTGTATTAAATGTGGAAGGATATCATTAAAGTGTATAGAGAAGTTTTATTTTGCCTTCTCCTAAGTGCACTTGTAAGTGGCAGTGTTTCTCTTCTCCAGTTTAAACTGACCTTTGAAAAATGGATTATGTTTCAAATTGGCACTACAAAGAAGAGTAAAGGTAGTTTCTGTGCCTTCCCTGAGAAATTCCATATGTTAACTTTTTAAAAATTTTTTAATTGCTTGAAGTCCAAATTTCATTGATTTAATCTCTGTCTTGGCAGTGAGATACTGTTCTTGTAAGCATTTTTTCCCAAGGTCACATCCTCAACTTTAATATTGGTTCAAACATACTTTGTTCAGAAAAGCTGAAAGTCCTAGTCCCTTGTTAATAGATTACTGTACTTGTTCATGCCATAATTGCACCGTTTGTAAAATGGGCGTAATGATATTACGCTCTTTTCAGAAAGCTCATGTGAAAAGTTATATAATACTGCTTTCTCTGTATAGAAGGGATTAGGTGACTTCAGTAACCTTTTATTATTTTGTCTTCGAATTGGTAGATAAATCTATTTTTCTGGTTTCAGTGTGAACTTGCTCTGGAAATGTCTGGGCTAGAGTTTAACTCTTGGCTGCAAGAAGTAGTGCTGATGTGTGTTATCCCCAAGGTTTGGAGTATTCTTATCGAGGTTTAGACCCGTCTTTAGTCTCTATGAATCTTAAACAATGACAATAAATTTTTTTTTATTTTGTTCCTGGCTAATTTCCAGGAAAGGATTGAAACCTTTCCTCTAAAGCAAGCACAAGAAATCATTGTTTAGTTTGGATTTTTTTCAGTAGTAACAAATCTGGGTGTAACGTAGAGATGTAATTCTAATCTAAATGCTGGACATTCCTTGGAAAAAGAAAATCACGTGATTTGATTAGATTTCTCACTTCTCTGCCCGTGCTCAGAGACCAGCAGCATGCTGGAGAGAGGCATTTCCCAGGAAGAGAGCGACTGATTCAACTGATTCATAGTAGCTCACTGCCTTCGCTCGCCATGGAAGCGTTCCAGCATCAGCTGCTCACTCTTACTGGGGGTCTGATCTGTTTCTGTACTCTGGTAAAATGCATCAGATTTATGAAATATATTTTCCCACATACCTGGAGTGCTTTGCCTCAGACTTTCTTTCGGTCGCTGGGAGAATGGGCAGGTAAAGGAAACTTCTTCCCCCTCTTCTTCTTCTTGTAACCGAGTGGTGGATTGTTACATTACTAATCAGGAGCGATTTTCCTTGCATTGCCTCACCCTGTCCCTTCAGAACAAAACACAATTTCCACTAGGTGTGGTTTGTTTAATTTCTTTTTGTCTTCTCCTTGTAACTTCGGGTTTATGAGCCTGAAGGTTATGCATACTTGCAGAGAATAGAAGTATAGTGAAACTAGTAACAGCTCACACACTTGGTGTGTAGATGTGAATTCTCTCCCCATTCCTACTTCTGATGTTTCTTCTCTACTGCAAATGCTTTAGTTTTAGTAGGATTGCCTATATCCTTAGTTTCCTGATATGTGAAGTAACTAGTTTATGTCTAGTATATGGTCTCCACTTTTCAAAGTTGCTCCAGTGTGTTTTTTCTGAATTGGTGACCTATCCTTAAGGTTAATGAGCCAAATCTACTCTAGCCTAAAAACTTCAAAGTCTGCAGCTTGTCAGTACTTTTAAAAAGATATTATGCATTCCCATAAAATAACGGAAATGTTTAATAAACACCACCTTCTTCCTACGGATCACTGATGTTTTTCTTAACTTTGTTAGATTATCAGTATGAAGCAAGAATGAACAGGTACTACAGTTTCTGAGTTCCTGGGCTACAGATGTCACTGATGGTGGCATCTTGTTAAGAAGTGACTGGAACAGTACACTTGTGCTTCATTCCTTTCCCCCACATTAGAGACTTGATGTGACTGGATTGAATATTTGTTTAATAAGCACATCTCATAGTGGATTAATAATAAATGAAATCCACCCCTGTGTGGAAGACCTGCCTGAATATCAGCTTCTGAAGCAACACATAGGTCTCCTTTTGATAGGAGGCAAGGACTTCCGTTCTGTGCATGAGGGAAGGAGAAGCATGTGGCACCTTCTGTGTAAAATCCTCGTTTACACTGAAGGTTAGGAGACTTCTTTCCTTTAGTAGACCTTTTATGCTCAGTCCTTTTTATAAACACAAACGCCTCTGGGCTTAGTAAAATTAATTCATAAGGCTTGGGTGATTTGCTGTATCATGTGGCACATGAGATCCTGAGAATCATGAAAATTAAAGTTGGCAGGTGGAAGCTTGTTTCCAATAGACTCTTTGCTTTTCACATGCAGGTCTGCTAGAAAGCTAAAGATCCACTGCCGCTTCACTGAGGTGTCTCTTTCTCTGTGAAATGAGGGAGTAGTTGCTCTTCTGTTGGCAACCAGAAGAAATCTAGCCATTCAAAATGACCTTGCTTCCATGGTATCTCTTGCAACTTAGAACCCACAGATTTTTGATATTGACTAATTTTCCATTTCGCTCTGAAAACTTACCAGGGTTGCCAACGCTTTGGAGCTTTCTTACTTTATTTCTTCTTTATTTCTGAGGTGATTAGGATTTTGCTTCTGTAGTTCCTCTTTGGTATTTGTTTGCATAACATTTAAAGTTCAGAGTGCTTTACAAATGCCCAAGCTTTTTTACTGTCCCAGTAACACTAAATCCAAAGGTAAACTGAGTAGAACCACTCTAAAGGAAGTGCCTTTTATAGATGGTAGTAAGTTTGCTGTGATGTTTTCCTTGCAGACAGATTTCTTGAGTGAGAAAGTGTTATATCAACTTCAGTCACCAAGCTGATTTAGTCCTTTTCTCCTACCATTCTGCCATCTGCAGTGAAAAACTTGCAAAGCAGAACTTGTAAAGATACGTATATGAGAGAAAGTTCTACCCCCTCTTAGGCAATTGACTTGTTGCTTGTTGTTGAAAATTAGAGTAATAATTACCTACTGCATCAGATAGGTTACTGTGAGGAGAAATTGGCTTTGAAGACAGAGAGTACTAAATGAAGTAATAAAAAGATGAAAAGGTTGCAAGGAAATAAATTTTTAAAAAGATTCTGTGGTTCCAGCAGAAGCATTTAGGTTGCAATGTTCAAGAAACACAGTTGATAAAGATTAAAGAATTCAAGAAAGAGCAAACTAAAGCAGAGCTCCAAATGTAATCCTTACTCTTTTTACTTCTCCAGTGGTCACAGGAGCAGGAGATGGGCTTGGAAAAGCATATTCCTTTGAGGTAAGGTAGATTACTTATCCTTAAGCTTATTTTAACAAAATGGCAATTGCTACCCTTTCATCAGTCTCTGCATGTTAATAAAATTATTCTAGAATTCAAAGACACTGTGGCAAATATGGTGGTAATCCTTCTCCCCTCTATGTGCAGAATAGCATTAATCAAGGTCTGAAAGGAAACTGCCGCTGCATTTCAGAGGAAAGTCAGTCATGCCACAGTGGTCTTGTCAGACTAAGGAAATAAAATCAGTAATCCTAAAGTTTCACATTGTCTGTCTGGGGTAGGAAGTCTCCTAAATTGTGCTTTTTTCCCCAGTTTTGCAGCTAATCTGCTTTTTGACTTTCAGGGGAGTGGTCCAGCATTAACATACAAGATGTAATGGTCTAGCCTTTACACTTGCAAACACGTTTTGAAAGATCTGACACAAAAAATAAAGGAGAAATCTGTATAAATTAATATAAACTACAAGTTACGGAAGGTATAAGGAAACCTAATGGTTTAATTAAGAATCAGTAGCTCTAGGAGGCTGCAGGAGGAGAGAGAGCACTGTGCTGTCCCTGTAGCTGCTGCTGTGCAGAGTCACCACACCAGTCCCTTTCTGTTTGCCCATGCTAATGGACACTGAAGGCAGTGTGGCCTTGCACTGTCTTGTACCAGCCTTGCTGCTGGTGATAGTGCCAGTAGGCACTATCAACAATAGTTGATATCAAGATATCAACAACAACCAGGACAGTAGGTTGTCCCTTTGGTGTCTTCATCCAAACCTGGCGCCCTTTCTAGACGCTGAACAGCAATGAAACACAAGCTTTTGTCTTCAGAGCTGAGGTTACCAGTGAAAGTTAGCTGCCTGTAATATGAAAGAGTTTAGATGTGATGCCTTCTGCTCATAAATATAAAATACATCTCACCGGAAAGGAAAATGAGGTGGCTTTTGAATTAATTTTTATAGGATTTTTAAACTAGTCTTTTTAAGTGTGTATGCGTTGTTTAAGCGCCTACCTCATGATTTTCATTGCTGGGAATGGCAATACAGTAACTACTTTTGAAAGTGCACTGAATGTAGGGAGCACAAGGACAAATACCAGGTATTATAGTTTAACATTTGGTATAGTTGCGTTCTATATATATATAGATCACTATCTCTGCCATGGGAGAGAAGGGAAAATGTTGCCGTCTGTCTACTTACGGAGTTGCTATAGTGATGAGCAAACAGGAAGGGTCCGATGAATACGTAGGTCAGGAGGGAATGTGGTGGGATCGAGACAGGGAGAGGAATTGTCAGAAATGCTTAAATATTTGTTTAACACCATGCCTCTGGGTGTAGTCACCTGTTTGTGCAGCTTGCTGAATAACTTAGTGTGTGAGCACCTGGTGATACTTCATCCATGTTGAAGGCTGCAGGAACCTGTAAAATGTCTAGATCAGAGCCCCTGTCATTGTTCTGCTTCCTTTGTGCTATATGGGTTATGCAAGACTAAATCCAGTTTAAAAGGCCAGCTGTAGCGTATGAATGGCTGCTTTACACCGTGAGAAAAAATAAAACAACTACTGTGTTTTTGGTTTTTTTAAACTTGGCTGGGACTGGCTGGATTTTGTGGAACATTTGCTCATTATTTTTGGCTTTTGTGGGATGACTGAGAGCCGTATTTATCCATGCTGAGATGTACCTTCCTCCCCAGGTGGTCCCTTTGATTGAAGCTGTGCTCAGCTACTGCTCTGTGGGGAAGATCCCAAGCCCACACCACATGAGCTCATAGCTTGGCATTTCATCTTGCTGGCTGAGGTCGAAGCACACACTTGTGTGTGGCTTGTGGATAAATAAATCTGACCCTGCTGTTTTAATATCTGTGTGCCTTTGGAGTTTCTGGCTCAGCACTGCTGTCTTGCTGGTCTGATGTCACGGTACAAAATTCTCTGATGTTCTTCTGGTGTAGGTTCCTCTGGTGTTATGGGCCGATGTGAAGGCACGCCTTTTTTGATGGGCACAGTGTCTTATTCTTCCAGAGTTTGAGCCCTGACACCAAGTGATGAATTTCTTTCTGACACCCTGAGCTGAAGAATGGGCTGATAATGATTCACAACTAATGTAAGGGCTCCACACTTGGTAGTATGTGGTACAGGAGACTAAAGAGAGTCGTTCTTGTGTTTCAGAAGGCTAGTGTGACACTGACACTCTGTTCAGTGTTTTGTCCCAGTAGGTGGTTCATCGGGTAAAACCCAGCAATCTGACGTCCAGGCAAAAATTACAGTGTTTACTGGTTCAGTACCCTTGTTTTAGAAGGCCTTGTTTCCAAGGCTAGATGTAGGTCTCTGCAAAGTCTGTTAAGCTCAAGAGCTGGCTGGGTCTGTGTGGAGAGCCTGGCAGCTGTGAGGTCTCAGAACACTACTTTGTTGATGCCAGGACACAGATTTTTCAGAGCAGATTATTGTCCCTTTGGTTTCCTGAGCATGTATTGAGAGGCAAGCACATACAGAACTTGAGCTTACCCTTTTCTGCATGAAAGTGCAGGCTTCCATGAAGGCTCTGTCTGTATTTCTAGCCCATCACAGTAATTTTGAAGGACTGGCCTTCTTAAGCGTAAAGATGCCGACCTTTTAACGAGCTGCTGTGATGTCAGGAGTACTAGGATTTTGGATCTAGTTCGCTATACTTATTTCAAAAGCCAGGTTTCTATTAGATTTGGTCCATTGGTTCTTGGGGTCATGGGGTTTAGACTCACCAGACTTATAATAAGGAACAAGAAGAAATCAGCTGTGAGCGTGCTACTAGGCTGTCACATCACTACTCAACTGTTAGTATTTCAGGTACTGATGCAGTCTTGTTTGTTCTGTTTTTCTGATGTAATAACTACAGATGTGCTTTAGCATCTGTTACTGACTTAGCGTCTCAAACATACTAGGTTTATGGACAAGGCCATGCCATACTTGGAGATTTATGGTTTAGCCTCTGCACACTTCTCATCTGATGTCAGGGCACAAGCAGGATGTTGGTGGCTCACTTGGTCACCATTTTTGTTACTCTTAATAGTTCATAACTCTCTTATAAGTTGGGCCAGTGCTTGTGTTTAATCACTGTTTTAGCAGACCATTTTGAGACAGGCACTGCATTCATTAATACAGCAGTTTCTCAAATCTTAAACCTTTGTTTCATTTCCTGAAATTGTGCATCATATTACCAGCAGTATAATACAAGCCAAATATGATCTGTGTTTCCCTGCTCCAGTTACGAACATATTCTAATTTTTCCACTTGGTCTTGGATTTATTCCTGGAAATACTGCTGTTGTACTTGCGTTGCACGGGTGCAGAGCTAGCAGAAAGACTGCAGAATCCTACTGTCATGTCCTCTCAGTCCTGGTCTGCTGGACCAAAAGGGGTTGAAAGATTTGAATCGTAGAGACCCAAGAGGTCTGAATTCCAGGCAAGCAAGAAAAGGAATGAAGTACTGAGGTCGTACCAGTACAATCCTGGAGCAGAGAGAATAATCTCTTTTGTAATAGGTAGAAAACTACAGTAGGCAGCTGCAGATTCCATGAAGCATTATAGGGATTTTAAATTATTACATCTAATGATCCATGTAGAGTATAACCAATTTGTCAGGGTAACTGTAATAGTTATAGGCATGGTTTGAATCTAAAACCTGTGTCTTGCCTTTCGTGAAGCTTTATTGTTTAAAAATTCACCTCCGACTGAGCTGCAAAAATATGCTAGAAAATGCAGAGTGACTTTTTACTAATTTAATGTAGGTTTAAACTTTTTAACCATGAGTTTGTGAGATTCCAGAGTGCAGATCCTGCCTGATCTTTCTTCATTGTTAGTCCCATTTCTAAATGTGAAGTTGTCACAATTCATTATGACTGGAGTCAGTAATAATGATCTTACATTTTGCCGACTGTAGATTTGCAGGATT